CCGGGATTACGAAGACCCATCTGTAACAAATATCCAGGCATCAGCCCACTCACAAGCACAGGGCTTGCAAGATTCCCTCTTATGCTATCCTTGAGGTCAGAGACCCCGTACAGGCGCGGACGTCCCATTTTGTCACACAGGCGTCGTGGCCAGAGAGGACAGCGAGGCGGGTGTGGCACTCACATACTTTGGCTATGTTTCTAGAAGAGGCTATTCTTTGGAGAGGGACTTTCTGCTTAAAAAAGAGGAAGACCCTCAACTAGATGGAATGACACAGTGACTGCAGCAATGGTATCAATTATGTCAGAGATTGTGAGAAAGGCACAAGATAGAGCAGAGTTCTGATCTGTCTTTCATAGGGTTGGTATGGGTCATAGGTCATACTCGACAACATCTAATAACAACAACTATTAGGAAATAAACCATGTGCACACAAATAAAGAAAAATATAATACACTGGTGTCATTCATTGCTGTCAAGTCAGAATTGACTCACAGCTGACCTTCCAATGGGTTCTCAGAGGCTGTAAATTGCCAGACAGAGATGTCCCATCTTTCTCCCACAGAGCAGCAAGTGGATTCAAATCACCCATGTTTGTGCTGGCAACCCAGTTTCTTACCTACTAGACCATCAGAGCTACAGGTGATGATAAGTTATACTAGATGATAGGAAGGCCACCTACCTTTGCAACCCAACTTCTTACCTACTAGGCTGTCAGAAGGTGATGATAGGTGACATGAAGACAACTAAAATAAGGGGTGGGGCTGGGACAGACATGATAGAGAAAGAGATGGGAGGGTCAAAGAATCTATTTAAGTAGAAACCCAAGAAAAGGATGAAAGAAGGTGGCTTGCAGCTATCTGGGAGCCAAGAAACCCTGGAAGAGATAGATTACAATCCTGAGCCACGAACATGCTTGACCTGCATAGAGAATAGCACTAAAGCCAACAGAATGGAGCAACTGAAGCAGGAAGCCATGATAAATAAGGACTAAGGTAACTGGGAGCAGATAAGTATGAACTTAGAGACTGCAAATGATGCAAACTGCCAGGTATTCCACTACGAGCACAAAGTTAGCACTGAGATCTCACCCACAGTTAGTTAGTTACCTTATAAGAAAGCCCTCGTGTTGTACTTCAGAGAAGATCAGCTATTAAAATAAGCATGACTGGACAGCAACTAACAATATAGACCATGTGGAATATACTAGAGAGCTGCTACAGGTTTGGGGGGAAAAAGTGAAATGATTAAATTTGTTGTTGTTGTGTGTGCCATTAAGTTGCTTGCAACTCAAAGCAACCCTATGTACAACAGCCTTAAACCCTGCTCCATCCTGTGCCAACCTTATTGTCTCTGACACAACTACCCCCACCACCCCAGTGACTGCTTCAATCCATGTCATCAAGGGTCTTCTTTTCTTGCACCATCCCAAGCATGACGTCCCTCTCCAAGGACTGGTCCCCCCTTGCAACATGTCCAAAGTGTGTCAGATGAAGCTTCAGAATCCTTGACTCCAAGGAGCAGCCTGATTTCACTCTCTCCAGGATAAACCTGCTTGTTCTCCAAGCAGTCTATAGTCAGTACTCTTCTCCAGCCCCACAGCTCAAGGACATCAATTCTCCTTCTGTCATCCCTAGTCTTAATATTTTTTAAAAAATTATTTTGGTTGTCTTTTTGGAGACTACATTATAGGAAGCAGGTAAGCTTGGACATAAAGAGATGAGCTAAGGGGGAAAAGAGTTCTCCAGACCAGGGCTGTCTAGTTACTGGAATAAAATAGGAGGAACATGTATTTAAAAGTTGGCTAATAGTGAAAAAAAGTAAAAAGAAATAAAGTTCATTTTAATAGCACATTTTATTTCGCTTAAAATGTCCAAAATAGCTTTCCAATAATGTTGGTTGTTGTTGTTGTTGTTGTTGACTGCTGTTGAGTTGAGCGTGGCTCATAGTGACTCTATGAACAAAAGACCTGATGCCTTTCCATAACTGTTGCCATTTCTCTTTCTCAATTTTTTTTGTATTATTAAAAGAGAAAAAACTCCCTTTCAATCATACCAAAAAAAAAAAGAGAGAGAGAGAGAGAGAGATATCGATCTAATGGATTTAATGGCTCAATGGTAAGGAGTTGCACTGCCAACCCAAAAGC